TTTATTCTTCTCAATGCACTGTCTCGCTTCGTAGCCGCTTTGATTGTCTAACTTTCGACTTTACATTATCCTCACGATGAATTGATTTTCATTTGTCTCCATGAGTCATTCGAGAGGTTTAAAACTTTGTTTGAATCAAGTTAGAGGGAATTATTACAACAAGTCGCCATTTTGATTCGAAGCTTGTGTAAGTTGATCTAATACAACACATAAGTAAGACCTAATTTTTCTATTGAACTTTATTTTTTAGCCCAGAAAGCTTTTTCTTTTGAAATATCTTTAGTTTGTAATCTCGCTAACTTCTCATTAGCCACCCCAAGTTTCTTAGGAATCAGGTATGTGTTTTAGGGATATATTTCACTTCGACCATGCTTCCAATGTGTCTTAGGGTTCAATTAATATGATTGACTGATAGTTTTGGACACTATATAACACTTTTCTCTTAGTAAGCTAATTGCCAGATATTTGTCTTATTGGCTCACTAACTAATTGGCACTTTGGCGATATTATGCTGCTGCTTAACTCTTGACACTGATGATATGGCTTGGAGTGAATCCACTTCGCTGTCCCTGGTGGGCGTTAACATCTTTTTGGATTCAAAGGCGAAATTTACATTAATGCCAAACATTTAACTTGATAACAGAAAATTCAAGTGTGGAATATATCTTTATTCATTTTTGTGTTATTCTTTATGTCTATTCACTTCCTTCCAACTATTAAACGCTTTCCTGACAGGATATTGTTAAATTTTTGACGTTACGAGTCTAAAAGTCTAATATGGGTTTTCTTAAATCCTCTTTTGCCATTTCTACTATTGAAGGAAATTTGTAGAGATATGATGTGGTGGTAATCTCAAGTTTTTGGGGTCTAATTTTTTTTCTCCTTGGGTGCATCTAATGTCACTCATTTAATTTTGTTAGCAAACAGGCTACCTCTTGTATAAATCCCATTATTTTTGTTTCCAACGAGTATTGCACCAATTTGATGCATGTTTTGCCTGTACCCTTGGCATTAATGATATTTCTATTTGATTTAGTTCTACGGTTTACCTGTAGCTGCTATGAAATAGTCTTCATGGTTGTGTACCTTGCCTCATTTTTTAATAGCATACACTATTTTTATTCGAGGATCGGCTTCACTCTTTTCTTTGGTTTATTAATCTTTGTTACCCATTTTCTTCCATTATTTGTGTCACTTTTCTCTATATAATATTCTATCATAAATATTAGGGACATACTTAATGTTTTATTTAAAACTTCGATTCGAAGCCTAAAATACAATTTGATCAGTAATTTAGTCACCATAGATCTCCTAAGGTGTATTTCCCAACAATTATCTGGGTAGTTCTTAGTACGCCAGTGAGTTTCACTTTTCTTTACTTCCCAAAAGGCATTCTAATCAAGACTGGACTGCCATTTTGACCTCGCCTGTGTCTAATCAGCATCCACATCGAGAATCTAACTCGGATAGGGCAACGTTTATATTCGACGTGTTACAGCTATGCCACACTACCATGGGCGCCAATGCTCACATAGCAGAATTATATTTTAACGCAAACCTGGCCCCCTATGTCATATTTTTATCTTGAATTTGAGCTGTCATTTCATACTCTTGAACTACAAATACCTTGCTCTCTATAATAACTCATCAAAAGCACCTATAACTTTATTTACAGATGCCCGTCAGCTCGCGTGTTTTTACTTGCTCATTGTATCATTCGACTTGATGGCTTGACGTGAAAGGCAACTTTAATTCACTATCATGATGTAAAATTTTCATATATGGACTATTCAAATATCTCAATTTTTAACTTCATTTTATGTGCAAGGATCGATTTATGCTAGTGTGGAGTTGACTTTGTGGTTTGGTTGTACGTCTTCTCATCCGCTATTTGTCATTTTTTTGCCTTAGGCTTGTAAAATATTAAAGAAAATTAAACTCTAATCCACATACTCAATCACTGGAAAAATTCGTTTTTACACTACTGGTCCATATAGACGATTGCTTATCCTTATCAGATTTAGTTATTCAAATATCTACTATTCGTAACCAGCGCATATGGGTTTTTGCTAAATCGATTTGTTATATACAATTATTATTTGATAAATTAATGCTACTCGGTTTTTTAATTTTGCTTAATAAGATCTAGTGGTGATTAAACATTATGGGCCGGCCTACATATTACCCCATTTGGTATATGCTTATAATTACTTTTATATAAGTCAGTATTTGAATTAGATTTGACCCCTTATGTTTGCCCTTATGGTTTGCGTTAAGCTCTATAGCAGTAGGCATATTTTATACCTTAAAATGTGGGACTTGGTTTAGTATAGTGAACTACTTCAAATATTCGCAGTGATGAGGAAGTATTGATGATTTTCTCCATTTATTAACTTGTTTTCTGTTTATTAGGGAAATGAAATGGTCTTTACTCATCACGGCTAGAAGCCATTGAACGAATATACTACCTTGTTTGATGCCATTTTATAGTGATTTAATGATATGCTTCTGACATTTGCCACTTCGACGATTAGTCTCAGTATATATCCACAGTTATCTCCTAAAATTCACTTTACACAAAGACCACTTGTCAATGTCTCTCATTCGGACTCATTCGTCACGTAGACCAATCAGATCTCGCCACCATTTTGATCCTATAATTGGATCTTTCAGACTGTGACCTCTTGCATCAATCACAAGTAGCAATTCACTCGTGAGGGCTTGAACAGGAATAGTTTCTGGTTTAGATCTCTCCAGGGCCCCATCTTCCTTCTGAAGACCAGTTCTTCCTCTCGCGAGCAGCACTCGCTGCTCATGGTGTCGTCTGTGGATATTCTCAGCACTCGTCTTATCTATAATCGTTATATCGTCGTATCTTCAACTGAGATAGCTACTTTCCTGAATGCTAAGCACGCCCTCTGACGTGTGCTACGTATGCATACATCGTTCCATCACTCGTATACACCTGCTATTACACGAGTTTGTCGGATCTCCCCATAAGGTGTGTTATAATTACTCAGCTTCTCTATTTAGGCAAAACTTTTTAGTGGACTTTTCGTTGAATCTGTGCCTGCCGAGCTACCCTTGCTCAGCAGAAGCAAAATGATTCTGCAGTGTTATCGACGCTAAATCAACTCCACTTATCTGCATCAAACCTCTACATTTCCTCACAATTTGAGTCTCACGTTGCCCGGTCATATAAGCTGTCTTGGGCGTCTTGTTCCAGCCCTCTTTTCCTCATTCCTATCTTTCCTATCCACCTTCGTCACTGATACACATTACGATTTTATATAGATGATAACCAACTAGCTTTGTATACCCGATCTCTATGAAACTTGACATTACATTATTCGATATTTCTTATCGATCTCAGGACAGATCCCAAAGTGTTGCTCATCGAAAGGATCCTTTCAATATCATCCTTACTATTTCAGCACTACTTTACGACTTTGTATGGAATAATAAATAAGGCCTTCAACTAAATTTTTTATTTTGGGCTTACCCTGTGAAGCCATCACAAGCTTTTGATGTGATCAAACCTCCATTTATGCCCTTATTATCTTAATCATATAAGAAGGCTGCATATTTCAGACGCAATATATTTTAATACATTATCTCCACTGATGCCATTTTTTATTCGTGCCAGATACTTATTTTAAGTGTTTTTTAGCTATCCCATTTGAAAACTATCTTGCTCAAAGAATTCCTCTGCTTGCCCAACAATATTTGTCCTGAAATATAAGGATTTGGCGGTGAATTCAATGATTGAAGCTGGTCTGAAATATATTTTCTTATTTTCAAAACCTCGGCATTTTTACACTTATTGAATAGATTTTAATTTATATAGAAGGTATGAAGACCAAAATGGTGTGGCCTTTTGTGTGGTCGCAGTCTCCTTTCGTTGTATACAAGTTGTTTGACCTTGTTTTCGCAACTCGGTCATATTGGTAGGAAGACTTATAGGAACGCACCTTGTCCGGAGTCTATTGTATGCATCATCATTTCCAGAGTAGGACCGTAGACGTGGTACATTTCCAGACGTTTCGCCGGCATCATAGTCGGCATAATCAGGGAGTCTTGCTAGTCTTAGCACCACACTACAACTCGTCAAAGAGACAAGTGAAGCCGATCCTTTGGCCAAACGTGTGCTAAACAGTTGTGGTATCTCC